TCTTGGGGTAGACACTCTAATGCCTAAATTAGCAATAATCAGGTCTACTAGAAAGAAGGCAAAAAAAGGCTTGAGGTCGGTTTCAATTATCTTCGAGGAAGGACCCTTGGGGAGTATTTATAGCCCTCAAGAAGGGTGTCCACGTGTTGTTCTTTGCGAATAATCACAATCATACGTGTCAATGATCGTAAGAAACTTTCCTAAGAAATTTGTGCATGATCGGAGTTACAGTAGAACAAAGGGAGAGAAGATGAGCTCGAAATCAACTAAGCTTATCAAACTCCAAGTGACGTCAAGGCAACTCAAGGTCGTCTGAATAGCTTAGCTCATCCCAAGTACATGACTTCAGACTTCCATAATTACACTAATCAAATAATTAATTTTTTATGAGAAATAGAGAAATGTATTAAGTAATAAGAAATTACAACAAAATCTCTATCTCATGGCATATAACTAAAATTATAATAACCTAAAGACAAAATCAGAAGCATAACCTATAGCACTAGTAACACACTTAAACTATGCCCATTACAGATATAGACAATTAAGTAAAGAGAGTTATCTACAACTAGGGATTGAATTTACAATCGTTGTATGGATTAAATAAGGCTACTGATGTAGAAAGAGGACTCACTATGAGCATTAAGAATTACTAGACATCCTTACCTATTTAACCAGCGTCTTGGGGAGAACAAGGGATTCTGGCAACATATAGTCCCCAACCCACAAGTTGCCACCCTACTTGTTCTTAAAGAAAAACAACCAAGAGGGGTATAGGTCTTTTCTTGACAAGCACAAGGCCCCCTATTCGCCTCCGTATACTCCCAATCATGTTCCCATCTTTGTCGATCCTCTTCAAACCCATGCTGTCGAAACTCATTAAGGGAACTAGAGCCCCTTTGCCTGCTTGAAAATCAAGTTTCCCATAGTGACCATAGTCGGCCTTACCAATAGTGTCATTTTCCTTCAACAATCAGCTAGCTGATCGGGAATTGGTGTGAACCAGATTTGTCGAATTTGACCCCCGCAAGATCCCATCCGAGGAGATGCACCAAAGGGAGATTCTTTCTCGTTAAATATGAGAAACCCACTTCATCAGCAATATCAATTGCAATCACAGCTTTCAAAAATCAATAGATGTAAACCCTATAAAACCCAAAAAGTCACTGCCTTATGATCCCTTGGGTTGGAGTTTCCAAAGCAAGACAGTGACAAGATGAAGGAGATCAAGAGGAGGAAAGGAAGGGTAAGAAGAAAGGAGGGATGAAGGAACTCCTCTACCAGAGATAAACCTTAGAGGAAAACTCGCTCCCATTACTCTCAATCCTAGAAGTAGTGCACGGGAGAAACTCTAGGGAGGAGAAACCCTAGGGAGGCCGAAAGAAGAAGAATTACCTAATAATTAATTTTTTAAAATACTATTTAAAGACTGAACTTTTAGGACGAGACTTTAAAAAAATTTAAGAGGATCTCATGTTCTCCACTTTTCCATTCATCGTAAGCATTGGTGTGGGATATTTTTCATGCAGCCAAACAAGCCCCACATCGACTGACGTGGTACGTTCTTATTAAGTCCTCAAGCCACCAAGCCTATTAGTTAAGCCCGTACGCATACATATAGTATTTACTACTGTATCTTCCGCTAATATTGTATGTCTTTTTTCCACTACATATTACAGGACGAAGAATATACTATATGAGAATAGTTATAATTGTAATTTACATTTTTTTTCAAATTTATGTGTTATTTGATATGAATATTAGTTGTAAAGTAAATATATAGTTAAAACTAAAATCTAAAATAATTACTCCCTTTTTTTTAAATACTTGTATTTTTTATTTTAAATTTGTTTTAAATTAATTGTTATTTTTTCATATCTTAAATTAAATAATTTTTTTACTTTAACACTATTGTTGTTTGTTTATTTTAATTATTTATCCTATCACAAAAAATCTTTGTTTATTCCTTTTAATATTTTTTAGTTGTCCTAATCTCTTAACTTTATGTAAATAAATTTGACGATTTTATATAACCAATGAAACACAATTCAAAATTTTTTTTTGCTCTAAGTAAAAATTTTCAACAAAAATAACATATAAAAAGAAAAAATTTTTAATTGTCATCTGTCTATGTAAAATCATTTAGTTAAACTTTATGTAAAAGTAAAAGTAAAACAATTAAATCAAATTGAAGAGACTATTTTTTATTTCTGTAAAATAATATAAATAAATATATAAATTATCTCTAAATTTTTTTAAACAAATTAAAAATCAATAATTATTTTAAAATAAAGAGAGTATTACTACTTGCCGGCACAATATCTTTCTTATTCTTATTATACACATGGATATTAGTGATTACAATTCCATTTTTTCTTTTGTTAAAAAGGTGTAGAGGTAAAGAAAATAGGTTAAAATATTAAAATTGTCCCTGAATTTTAATTTTTAATATCAAAAAATTCTTTTGTTAATAAAAGTATCACGTAACTTATTATATTGTTATAAAATCAGTTTTTTTTTAAAGATTATATTGTTATAAAATCAATTTTTTTTTAAAAGACTAATGATATCTAAAATCAAACAGTCATATTTTATCATTATAACATATTTCTATTTACATAACATATTAATATATTATTAAAGTTGAAAAACTAAATTGCTATTTATAATCAAAATTCAAGAATTAGGTTGGTACTTATCTTCAAAGTTTAAGGATTAAATTAGTATTATTTTCAAAGTTTGAGGATTATTTTGGTATTAGGAATTAAAGTTTAAGAATATTTTTAGTACTTTTTTAAGTTAAAAAATAATTTTCATATAAATTTAAAAGTTAAGGACCAAATTAACATTTTAATCAAAAAAATATGTAGTTGATGAGATGGATCATTAAATGTATATGAGACTTAACTAGTGGGTCAGAAATGCAGGGGCAAAAAAAAAAGCGACGAAGTCAAATTATATTGATGTTGGAAGGCGATTCTCTTAAATGATGTGAGAGAAATTTAAACTCACATTTTTATAATGATCATATTACACGTTATTATTTGAGCGGAAACCACAAATACGTTTTGAAGAAACATGAACGAATACTATGTATATACAAGGCCTAAACTCACAACCCAGTGACATACGTATGGGGTCTTAACCTCAGGCCTTCTACCACCTGCCTCAGACCTCATAGATTTCCGGCCCTCTATAGACCCTCTTTGTTACTTAATATGTTAATAATACTTTTTTATGTTAAAAAAATGACAACATCATAGTTATAATATTATATAAAATTATAAATTTTTAATAACGATATAATATTAAATAAATATATACATATATATAGTATTATAAATTACTTTTTAAATAAAAAAATTAAATATATAATAATACATCATTAATTGTAAATTTACAATACTATATAATATTTTAATTAACCATGTCATTTTCATAAAAATAAAAGTTAATATTATTAGCAAACGCACAAGATTCAGATAAAAAAGGTTTTCTTTCATCAATCAAAATGTTCACAGGAGAAAAGAGAGTAATTTGCGCAAAAGCGAAGCCCTCATCGCACGATCAAGCTAGAAAGTCAAATGTTTGGTTAAACAGGTTTGAATTTGAACATAACTCTGAAAGATAGGTGGGCTTTCACTAAAATGGTCAACAGATACCCTTCCTAGATTAAGGTTCCCAATTAGGGCAAAACTCAAGTGGTCCCTTAATATTGCCCCTTTAGACTTCTCAATTCACATATCACACGTTCATTTGTCTGTATCTCTAAATTGATACCCAAAAAAAAAATTAATATAACCTGACAAAGTCAGTGGAATAGAAGCTCTGGGGAATGGAATAGAAACTGCAATTACGAATTTTGAGGAACCGAAATCACTTGATTAATCCTTATCTAGTCTAATAATACAAGAATATAATCTTACAGTTAATATAAATCTTAGCCTTGTTTATTGGAAATCGGTTCGGTCCACGTTTCCATATATTTGTCCAAACCCTAGACAAACACAAAACTATTGTTTTACTTTTGAAGTTTGCTTTGTCTTGATTTATAGTACCAAGTTTTTAAAATTGAAAAATTAATGTTCTTATTATCCCCAGATGCTGCTGATTTTGTAGCCCATTGAGATTCTTCCATTTGTATTAAACAAAGTTGCAAATTGCTTCATTATGGTACAAGTAAGAAATAAGAGTCTGTTCTTGACTAATTGAGTTGCCTTGGTAGTTGTTCTTTTTAATTAAGAGACTTTGCTTTTTCTTTTTTTTTTTTACTGAAAATGATTAAGAAATAATTTTTTATATAATTTTTTTTACAATCTTACATATTATTTAATAATTAACAATTCTTCATTTTATTGAACTCGTTGTATACATTAATTTAATTAATGATATATAAAAATTATACAAAAAGTTATATAAAAATTTTTCTGCATATCATTACCCTTTCTGTTACAATCAAAGTGTCCATATTCCAATTTGCCTGGATTTCAAGCTAATTTTCTCTTCAAACAATCTTAAAGGATAATCTCACATGAACTAATACATTTAAAAAATTAAATTTCTTTAATAATATGTTTGGTTGTAGGGAATGGTAAAAATAGTTGAAGAGGAGGGGAGGAACAAATTTTTCTTTATTTAATTATCAAAATAATTAGAGGTGAGAAGAAAAAAGTCATTTATTTTATTTTTTAAAATTTATTTACTCATTCATTCAAATAAAAAGAAGGAAGTTCCCTTCTCATTCTTTTTCCTCTTTTCCATTTTTTTTAAATACCATACGAGATTTGTTTACCCCTGAATCCAGATAATAATTAAAAAGCTTTGCTGCTCCTATGTGCATCCCCTTTGTCTTTGACTCAAAGCGAACCTCGCAAAACACACAAGCCCTTAAAAGTCACCATAAAAGGCGGCTGATCCTTCGGAGCCAGACCCCTCCTCAGGAAGCATATATTGGACCTTCACATTAACTCAACCTCACTTCCAACTTCTTCAGCTCATGTCTTTTAGGGTTTGCTGTTTTACAAAGTTACTTTGCTCTTACGTTTTCTCCCTTTCTACTGTTCTATCTAGGTTTCAGTAAATAAAATAAGAAGAAGGAAGAAAGAAAGGAAGGAAAAAAATGGATGAGAGAAGTGATAGTACTGAGAAAATGGAGGAAATTATGTTACCAGGGTTTCGTTTTCATCCCACCGATGAAGAGCTTGTTGGGTTTTATCTGAAAAGGAAGATTCAACAGCGGCCTCTCTCCATCGAGTTGATTAAGCAACTAGACATATACAAATACGATCCATGGGATCTTCCAAGTAAGTTAATCAATATTTTTTTTTCTTTTCATATTCTATGTGCAGTACGTGTGGCTATTTTTTTTCTTTTGTTCACCTTAAGATAGAAAAAAAAAATTTTTTTATCTGCGAAGAAAAAGTATGTAAGTGCTTAGCTAGCTAAAGATGTGAAGATTAAATTTCATAATCAAGGTTTTAAAGTTAATGGATCTTATGTTAATAATCTTTTTTTCTTTTTAATGAAGAGTTGGCGACCACCGGAGAGAAAGAGTGGTACTTCTACTGTCCTAGGGACAGAAAATACAGGAATAGTACACGGCCTAACCGAGTCACCGGAGCTGGGTTTTGGAAAGCGACCGGAACCGACCGACCTATCTACTCCTCAGAAGGGTCTAAGTGCATTGGCTTGAAGAAGTCTCTGGTTTTCTACAGAGGTAGAGCCGCCAAAGGGGTCAAAACTGACTGGATGATGCACGAGTTCCGGTTGCCTTCTCTTACCGACTCAGCACCGCAAAAGAGATTCATGGACACAACTATTCCTGCCAATGTAAATCATCTACATCTTGCTCCTTTTTTCCGTTGAGAGATTTTTTATTTTTACATATAAAAGTCAAGAAAAAAATGTTTTATAATTTAAACTATATTAGTTATTGGATGGTGAGGGACTCGATATTAAAAAAAGGTATTTCCTTCCAATAATTCATGTTTTGTGGTTTAGATTAAAAAATACTAAACTGAAATTTGAATGTTTAGCGTTGTATGGATTTAAATCTTAATCTTCACTCTAGATTAACGTTTAGTTTGGGAGTGCCAAATTGATCAATCTCTTTTCCTTGTTGTTGCTGAAGGATTCATGGGCAATATGCAGGATATTCAAGAAAACAAACTCTACAGCTCAAAGAGCTTTGTCTCACACATGGGTCTCTCCATTACCTGAAACATCATCAACCTCGGATATGACCAACAAAGGTTCAGACAACACTCAACTCAGTTCAGATCTAACAACAAAAATCATTTCTTCTATCCAGTTTAACCACAATAATGACGCACAGCAGACATCAAGTACCACATTTTCCCCTTTAGATTTTTCATATTTTAAACCTACCAGCCACATTGTTGGGAAGCCTCCTCAACTTCCCATGTCCAATGGAGACCTAACCAGCCACATTTTTGCACCTCTTGAAACCACACCCCCTGCTAAATGCACAGTCGATGTTACATCCATGTTGCTAAACATGTCATCTTCGATGCTCGGAGATTACAGTAATCATAGCAAGGCCTCTGAAAGTGTGGACATTATGGGGTCCCATGAACATAGCAATGTCTTCTCCGTTGGTTTTCTCCATGACATGCATGGGAATATCAACAATGGGGTGCATGGGGAGGACCAGTGGGAAGGAATCCGATCTATTGGATTTCCCTTCAGTTTTCCGGTGATGGGCACGGGAGAAGCTTGGAAGCCAAACATTGTGTGGGACTCTTCCTACTCTCCTAGTGAGATGTGCACGAGTTTTTCAACAACTAAGTGTTACACTTGATGGAAATGATTACATGGTAAAAACATGTCTGGTAGTTTTAGGTTAGGAGCAAGTTGTGGGGAAAAAAAAAATTTGTCTTTCTTTGTAGGATGTTTATTACAAACAAATTAAATTGTTAACTCTACTAAATTTATGATTTAAATTAATGTAAAACTAGTAAAAGAACATATAAATTCAAATGAAGATCACATAAATTTAGTGGCGTTAACAATTTAGTATGTAACAATAATCATTTTCACTTTGTAGGCCTGTAAACCATTTTACATTTGTAGGGTACGAACTATTTTGAGATTGACAATTAAAACCATGTTATGGTCCATGGTGGAAAAGTCGCAGCGAATAATTCCTGGGGATTTGCTTGTAATTTTAGACCGTCAAGCTTACCGGCTCGGTTTGGGTTACAATGGGCCAGACTAAGAGCAGATCAAACAAAAAGGCCTAAGAACGGGTATATAATGGGTCCCACAGGCTGTTCCTTCTTCGTTTTTCTTTGGTGAAATGCTCAAATTTTGATCTCAACTTTAAGATTTTATATAGATTTTGTGGTTAAATTTTTTAATATATTTTTTTACTTCCTTAATTATAAAAAATATATTTTCTAATCTTTTTATTAGTTAGTTTATTAAATTTATCTAAATATATATATTTTTAATCTCTCAACTTATAATATACACATATTTTTTGTTCTCCAACTTAAAAATTCATAAGCTAAAAATATGGACAAACTTAACAAATTAATTGACAAAAGGATTAAAAAAAGTTCTTTTCCATAATTGACAAATCAAAAAGTGTGTTAAAATTTTGAGAGATGAAAATTGTGCAGCACCCTAAATAAATCAAATTTGGCATTTAACTTATTTCTTTCTTTTTCTTTTTTTAAAGTTATGAAAAATGATTTAAAATCAACTTTTTAGTACAACTTTTTATACACTCTTAAATATCATTTAATGGTAAATTTTTTCAACATATTGAAATTTATGATGTTATATGCATTTATTTATTAATGACATTTAAAAATTATATTAAAAATTTCTACAAGAAAACTGTATGGCTATCATTACCCTTAAAGCTACAATTTAAAATTTTCAAAATACAAGGAACAAATGAATTGATTGAGTCGAATTGGCTCTTCAAGCCTAATAGTTCGTTTTTAAATTTTAATATTTAGATTCAATTAGTCAAGAATTCGATTTTCACCAACTGTTTACAAAATATCCTCTTTTCTCAATGATTCACAATGTGAAAAAAAAAAAAAAAAACACCAATTGAGGCAAACTTTCTTGGTTAGTCACTTAATTATAGGGTGTGTATCACATTGGTCCAAAATCTTTATTAAATTAATAAATGAGAAACTAACGACTTGACCAAGCACCAATTGAGCTAGCGCTCAAATTCAATTTTAAGTCAAGAATATTTTTAGCTTGAGCTTTAGTCGTGAGTTGCTTGAGTTCAAGCCCAAATTTAATATAAAAAATTAATTATTTATCTAATCATTTAAATTTTTCTTTAAGCACACAAACGAGTTTAAGCCCCCAAATACTTTTGTGCTATACTCACTTATTTCCTTAAATTTCGCCCTAGAAATTTTATCAAGATCTACCCTAAAAGTTCTATCAAGATTAGCCTTTTCATATGCAATGCACATAAATGAACATAAGCGTCTACGTGGCACAATGTTACGTCCTTCCCTCCCCTCATTTTAAAAAATAAAGGACCATCCTCCCTCTTTTCCCCAAACTGTCTCAAAAAAGGAAAAAAATGAGATACAGAGATAAGAAAAACCGAAAAACCGAAAAACCCAGAGCTTATATGCTGCTCCGATGACGGGTGTACGAGAGCTCATGTTTAACAATACAACATAAATTCCAGGTCAAGCACCAAATTGCCAAGCAGATGCAGGACGAGGATTTAACGTGAAAGGAAATGGGAAGTTAGGAAACCAGACAAATCGGTGGAGCACCAAAGAGGCCTGGCCTGGCCCGGTGTTCAAGGTGCAAGGAGCTAAATTGTGAAACATAAAAGCAACACACAGCATTCAAGCAAAGATGAAATCAAAGGCATATATATGCACCTACTTGAGGCAATCATAAAACTTCATTAATAATGATAACAAAAGGCAGTAATCTAGCATTACATAGGACATCCAATATCAAATTTAAAACACCACCTTAGAAGTAATAGATGAAAACAAAATTTTAACACAAATAGACTTGTCGACAAAATGAAGGGAAGCAGAAATCACTTGTCCATACCAGCCGAGCAAGATACAACTTCAAGTTTGATTACCTCAAAATATTATCCCACAATTCACTATCATCAAGCCAGAGCTGAATTCTCTCAACTGAAATCCTAACTCTTGGATGCTTGCTTTTCCTTTGCCTTTTGAATCTTCAAGACCTTCTTCACAATCTTTTGCTCTTCAACCAAAAAGGCTCGAATTATCCTGAAATAACCAAGATTTCTTATCCAGTCTAGTAAAACAAAATAAAACAACCCATGTCATAACTTACAAACAGGAAAAAAATAAGATCACTTTGGTGCAGGACAAAAACAAACCTTTCCCTGACAGCACTTCCAGACAGCACTCCACCATAAGCACGGTTCACAGTTCTTCGGTTTCTAGATAATCTAGACCTCTTATATTCAGCAGGCCTCAAGTGGGGAATCTAAATATTAACCAACATTTAATCAATAGCTGAAATGGTACTCAAAACACATATAGAGAAGGAATTCAATACCAACAATAGCACACAAATTAGCTCCAAATAGAACCATAAGAAAAATAGATAATCAGAGTACACATCATCACTGATATTATTCTAGCTGAACTTAATTTCTATTGCCAAATCATGCCACATGGGTATTGAGATGTAGATTAAAATTAAAAATGTAAAACAGGTAGCTATCAAAGTTGCAGTTAGCAATACTGCAATGTGGGTTGGTCACGTGTCCCCTGATCAAGTTTTGAGAAAGGAAAGGAAAGGGAAAAAAAAAGGGTTAAACAAGAAATTTCAATTTTTATCCTCTTCAATTCGATACATTTCTTCAATCTTCGGTGATGATATTAACAAAAACCACTAAAGAAAAATCACAACCCACTCATTCATTCCTAATTAAGTAGAATCAATTTTTCAAGAACCCACCCTAGTTACAAGTAGTCTAATATTAGATCATGTAGCCAAGAACAATTTGCAACATTCATTTTTTGCCCGTTGTTTACCCACACATCACATATTTTGCATTCAACAATCTATATTCTACCAATTTTAAATCATACAGAAAATGAGATCAAATGAAGAGATGCTAGGCAAATTCACATACTCCTTGAATTCTCTTTCCAGTAACAGGACACTTGGGGCCACTAGCTCTCTTCTTGGTGGTCTGATACACAAGCTTCCCTCCTGCAACACCAGAAGCACATCAAAATCGCAAAACAACTACAACCCATCATTTATTCCAAAATTAACTCCCAGATTCGGTCATCATTACAAAGTAAAACACATCATTAACCATAACCCATATAAGTCTCAACATCCTTGTCTCTCTCCCAGATTTGATCAAAATGAATTAAAACAGAGACAAATATAGATAACGAGAAAGAGATAGATGGCGGTGTTACCGGGGGTTTTGACGACGCGGTGCTGGTTGGACTTGGTGGCGTAGCTGTGGCGGGTACGGTAGGTGAGCCGCTGAACCATTTTGGAGCTGCTCAAGTTTTACTCTCTCCTAGGGTTTTTCGGAAAATACCGTCGAAGCGGAAGGGGTTTTGACTGTGTCAAGTTAAATGATATAAGAAGGGAAGAGGGGGCGGATTCGGAGGGCATTTTGATGCCCTAGATCGTAGGGTTGTGAGGAGATCTTGGATTTAGGTTTGACGGGCCCAGTGGGTTTGGGTTTCCTGTGGGTTAAACGGCTCAGAACTGAATTCCACGGATTTTGGTCCATAGTGGAATGGCTAAAAGATGGGTTTGTGTGGGTCTATCAAATCAAGTTGGTTGATTTTGTTTGTTTTGGGCCCGTCTTCAAATTTTTAGTTTCTTCTTTTATTGTAGGTTCGCCTTAATAAAAATGAAGTCATATTTGTCTTCTCCTTTTTTTTTTTTTTTTGGAATAAATGACAAAGAAAAGTGAAAATCAAAATATCATGATAATTTAAATATGAGAATTCCTTGTGTAATTATTTAAATACTCTTAATAAATCTTTTTTTATGTTGATTCATTAAGAGTATTTTAACTTTTTCATTATTAGTCATTTTAATTGTTATGACTACTTGATTTTCCTCAATCCCTATATGAAAGTAGACTATATAAGAAATGATAATCTTTTTGTTTTTCTAAATCCCTCCTCATTCGATTCAAAATTCAAACACAAGCTTTTTAAACTAGAGTTTTGGGCTTTTAATTAGTCGAGCACTCTCTTGAAGCAATACATATGTATTTACTTCCAGACAAATTTTTTGCCTCTAGAGTTGGTGTAGTATTGGAAGTATGGTTGGGTTCTTTTGAGGCATCTCTTTGTGGTGCTGACAACTCAAATGTTTTCAATTTTAGATGTTTTTCTTGTTGTAACTGGATATGTTGGTGGTGCCAACAACTTAAGGGTTCTAGATCCAAGTAATTTTCCAATCAATAAGCATTGTAATTTTACTTCTCTTTGTTTTAGTTACTTGGGTACCTTATTTTTGTTTTTAAGTCCCTTAAGTGTGTTTCATGGTTGACAATATTAGATTGTGTATGTCATTATCTTTGTTGAGGCTTTTCTCTTAATAGCTTATTGATTTATCTACAGAGCATGATAGTTTTACACTCATAAGTTGCCCTCTCTATTGGAGTAGGGCATTGGGCTAATCCTAAGTGAGTGCTAGAGGATGAGTTCCTAGCAATGCTCTTTTTCTTTTGGTCAACCTCTAAGTTTTAATTTTAATGACACATTAGATCTAAATTAGACCTAGCAAATAGGTAGATGGGGTTGGGTTAGAGTCGGGTTAGAATGGGTCATAGGTTAGAACAAATTGAGTTAAAATAAATCACGAGTCCATGAAGGCTGACCTTAACCCGCCCATCATGGGTCACAGGTCAACGCATGAGTTGACCAAATTGAATTTTTTTGCCTTTTTCTCTCAATAGTCTATACCAATTACTAGTTAAATTATTTTGGACGGTTTTACAATCCAAGAATTAACATTCAAACACCAAGCTTCACATAAATTGGCTAAGTAGTAAGCAAGCACAATCACATAAATATAGTAGACATCTCATGACACTATCAACATTAGTCTTCAAAATTCATTTGGCTACATTCTTTTAGTGTGACATAAAACATGGAAAGAAAAGAAAAAATGAGCAATGACTTTAGTCCTTGATGCATAATTTGATCATTGATCCAAAAGTTAACTTTATCAATTGACAAAGATCATAGTGCCAAAGTTGTACAAAGAAGGCTGTCAAGTATTAATCATGATTTAGGAACAAAAAAAAAAGGGCTAAAGCACCTATTTGCCCACTAAACCTTTTTTCTCTCCACGATCGACATCCTAAACTAATTTTCCTCCTAGTCAACACTCTTCATAATTTGAAATCTATAAAAAAAAAAAAATAAAATAAAAAACCCCAAATTACTAATAAAGTTAGGGTGCAAATAGGGAGTTTGACAGTTGATTTTTGGGTTTTTTATAGATTTTAAATTATGGAAAATGTTGACCAAGAGGAAAATTAGTATAAGGTGTTGACCGTAGTAAAAATAATGTGTAGGGTGCAAATAAGGGATTTGGCCTAAAAGAGAAAAGAAAATTTACAAAGTTCATAGTGCTAATTGCCAAAGCAATCCAAAAACATAAGGCTATCAACCAAGTCCCAACTAGAATTAAGTAACTACCAAGTATCGAGAAAACAAAATTCTACCAAGTAACAACTCCCAAGTTGTAGCATAGGACTTAGGAGACAAAAGTAAGCAACAAAAACAAGTTGATGGGAGAACAAACAAGCTACCAAGTACCAAAGCTATCCAATCTAAATGTGCACTTGAGGAAAAAAATTAATATGGTTAGAAATTTGGGAAGTTAAGAAACTCATAGTGACATTTGCCCAAAAAAAAAAATTTTATTGTCAAGAAAAAAACTCATTGTTGACAACAAGGAAATTTTGAGCTTTTTGAGATTTTTAAGTTAATAAAAATTTCCTCAAAAGGCATCTTCTTCACCTTTCGAAATGGTAAAAGTTTGTCTTTGAGAGGTCTTGCTCTTTTAAGCTCACTGATAAGATGAGGAGAAGTCATACTTATATTGTCTAAGTCTAAACAAAATTCATGTCCTACCTCTTCATCTTAAACATATACTTTTAAAGAAGTCAATACATGGTTAAAATTAGTCATTCCTAATCTAGTCATCTTTAATTGCAAATTGAAAATAGGTAGATTCAATGAACAAGAAAAAAAGAACCATATTACCTTCCTTTCAAAATGCATTCAACCAAGTTTGAGCTATAAACAAAGCTTCTACATTTTGAGGTAAAAGAGATCCCCTCAATTTACTAATAATTCTCCTACCCATGCTAAATGTAGATTTAGAAGCTATTGTGATAATTGGAATTGTTAAGATGTTTCTTATCATCCTAGACAAGTTAGGAAGACATTTTTCGCTATTATACCAATAAGCAAGGACATCCAAATCATGCTCTAAAGCAAGCCTTCCCTCTTTCAAATGCTATTGTAATTCAAATGCATGAACCTTTTCTAAATTGAAAACTCTACATTAAATAAGAGCCACCAAACCATAAAATAGTGGAAACAAAGTTTTACGCCATAAAAATGGCAAAAAAAAAAATGAATAGAAAAAATAGGCTAAAACTGTAGAAGCATAGCAACAAAAGTGTAGGAAACAATAAACAACAATTAGAAAAATTAACCACCAAACCATAAAATAGTACAAATATAGTCTTACATCACAAAAATGCAACAACAAAAAAGCTGAAAAATATTGAAAACTATAGAAATATAGCAACAAAAGGATAGGAAAAAATGAGCAACAATCGTTAAAATTAGTCTTCAAACTATAAAATAGCAAAAAATAGAGTCATACATCACAAAAATAACAACAAAAATAGTAAAAAAAAATACTAAAAAGTGTAGAAACATAGAAAAAAATGAAGGAAAATTAAGAGCAACTGACTAAAAAATGGCACATAAATTTACCTAGATGGGATTGAGACTTTGTAATTGCCTAAACATTATGAATTTGCTACTAGTACATGTAGAATCTATTGTTATTATACTTTCCTTACTAGCACTAAAGCTATTATTTATTACAAATTCATTGTAGAGATCAAACAACAATTTAGAAATATGTGCAATCATGGCCTTCCATTTTTCCTCATCATCTTTACTTAGCATTTGGTGGTAATATTTTACCAAGACTAGCTTGTAATGAGAATCAAGAACCAAAAGCAAGTATCAAACCGTAATAGTCTCAATACTTATCAAATTTATTCTTCATCCTAGTTGCCATCTCCCTTAAATATACATCTTCACTTTCATATAATCCAACAAGTAACAGTTAATCATCCACATAAATTTATAAGTACAAATTTGTTGTTGGACATTTAGATTCAGAAAAACAAAGCAGTGATTTCAACAAAAGGTGTCAATAGCTCAGAAATTCTAAGAACTCAAGTCTAATCTTCTTCATCCAATGAACATTTAAAATGCACATCATCCAACTCAAAAGTAATAAAAGCTTCTTTATATAAGAGTGCATTATCAAGTGTGATGTGTGTAAAATTCCACCTCGTAGGGGAATCCAACCATAATCCTTTTCTCAAATCACATCCCACACATTTAGCACAATCTTTAAAATTCAAAATTCTAATCTCAAAAGCAATTATGTACCTTATCTCTCCCTAATCTGCTTAACATTTTCATCAACCAATTTCAAGCCTTCTTGTATAATCAAATTCAAGATATGAGCAAAACATCTAAAATGAAAATATTTCTCTCTACACAATAGTTGCTTCTCAAAATTAAGTTGATTTTTCAAAATTTGTTGCATGTTATGGTTAGTTCTTGCATTGTCTAATGTAATTGAAAAAACTTTCTCCTCCATGCCCCACTCTTTTTACAAATTCCTAACATCATAGCGGAGTTGGACATGCACAAAATTCAAAACCAAAATATGCAAATTCCAATCATCATTAACATAGTGTGCAGTTAGACATAGATATCCTTGTGTTATTGCAGATGTCCACATATTAAAAATCAAACATATTCTACTACATAGTTTTTTCAAACTCTCCTTAATTTTCTCTTTCTAGTTTTTTCAAACTCTCCTTAATTTTCTCTTTCTCCCTCTTATAAATTTTTAACCAATGATTCTTCATATTATTCCTACAAATTGGTTTCACTTTTGCATGCAAATACTTCATTAATTCCATAATAGCTTCATGCTCAACCTAAGAAATATATATGTTTAATAACAACCATAGCACACAACTCTTTAAAAGTTTATTCATCAATTATTCAAACTTATTTAAAATTATCTAGAGAGGATCTTTCTCCACTTGAGAAGGGCATTTTGGAACATTTCTTCTCATATTCGAAATACCATAAGTTCATGTATAGATGTATTTTTTTCCATAGTATTTGCATTTACCTTTTCTTATTTCATCCTTATTCTCTAAAGAAGATATAAGGATGAAATGTTCCCAAATAGTAGAGGTAGAAGCACGTTCAATAAGTGCCTATGTCTTAGAGTTTGGCTGCACCTTAACCTCAACCCCTTTCTTAGGTGCAGAGCAAAAGCTAACATGGCTTGCATATTCCTTATCCTTGCCTTTATCAACACCTACTATATTCAAAATTTAAATCCACAATTAGAATTTATAGCAACCTAAAAAAAATAAAAATAGAACTTATAACAAACACATACCAATAAGAGAGTTCGAGTCTGATTTGGATTATGCAACTGCAGATAGCCTTTCAAATTGAGCATCTTTGTTGCTTTTCTTCCTTTTCATCTATGGCTACCAAAGATCAAGTATGCAACAATCACATAAGATGCTAATACAAGAACATGTGGTCAAAAACCACCCATGGTTAATTTGTTTCTTAGATTTCTATCCCTTATTTTTCATTGGTTGTTTGAGACCAAATTATTCAATCAACCCCTAGTTTTATTTAGTGAAGGAAACAACCAATCTCACAAAAGGAAGTATCCTAGGAGGAAGTAATCTAATCAACCAATTTGAACCCATAGAATCACATTGAAATAGTGAATTGAACTTGGACTAAGTTTAATCATAACCTTTCTTTTCATGACAACCTAAGAACTTTTACTTAGAATGGAGAAAAAACTAAAAAGCATAAACAAGTAAACAACTTACCTCAAAGGCTTTAGAGAGAAAAGTTGGTGTCAAACAAAGTACTATAGCTTGTTGGACTCAAAGGAGTAAAAAAGGAGAGGTTGGACTCTGAAGTTGATCCGACGGTGACTTGGTGAGATTGAGATTTGAGTTTGAGATGATGTTAAAGACTAAAGAGAAAAGGTGGAGTTGGAGCTTGAAAATGAAAGGCTAAAGGCTATATGGACTATGGAGGTTAGAGAATATGAGAAGAGTTTGAACTTTGAAGAGTTCAAGTCTTAGAGAGTATTAGAACCAGCAAGGATAGGAAAGGTCATAAGGTGAGTCGTGAAAGGAGTGGGACTATTTTTGCGGGACTATTTTTGCTTCTAGAAGCTGATGAGCCAAGAGAATTAGCCAATTAGGGAGAATTAGTCAATTATTAAGGATTTAGGTGGGATTAAGAATTGGAAAACAAATTAAATAAATAATAAATTAAAAAATTTTAAATTATCAAATTGACAAACGAGTCAAACCTGTTGACCTGGTGGGTTAACTCGTTATTGCCTCATGCTTTGTTGGATTCTCTTAATGTGTCATTAACATGTCACAAATTATGAATATTTGACCCTAACTCATTTTAAATGGGTGGGTAATGGGCTGGTTAGTGGGTCAGACAAAAAATTGCCAAGTCTATTTCTATAAAAATTTTAGTGACATATTAACGGCTAAAAAATATCTATGGCATGTAGGCAATTCTTAAAAGTGCTAGAGCCACATCAACCTTTTCATAACTACCAATGAGTTAGGGACTATAGTTGGTTTGTTTTTCAAAATTCAAGGATTGTAATAATTATTTTGTGGTCTAGGGAGGGCAATGAATACTTTTACATAGTTTAGAGATTGTTTTTCCCTTTAAAATTTAACCATTAGCTCAACAACAATGATTCATCGATGTCTGTTCACAAGAAAATTTTTCACAATGGACACATGGCAAACGTCGAATGAAAATTGTTGTCACATACTAAATTATTTTCTTCCGTTATTTCAAAGCTTTATTGACCTAGATCTGGTGATTTATCTAACTTCGACAAGTGCAGAAATACTCAACCATTGATGATTCAAAATCACCCTATTTTAAAAAATAAAGAAAATTAGACTGCGGTCAATCAATGGCCGGGTGAGTAATCTTTCGAATGCAAATAGTGTTTCTTTTTCTTTTAATGTTGGGAGTTAGATAAAAGAATGTATGACACACAAAAATAAATAATCAACCCTAAGCATATGGTTATTGGCCAACAAAAAAACTTGGGGCAGCGTTCTATTTTAGTATGGGTGTGGTTATTGATTTTTAATTTCTAACTTTGAAAATTTAAACAATTAAAATTAGAAATTAAAAATCAAAAATCAAAAATTAAAATTAACAATTTATTAGGTATAAAATTTTAAAATAATACCTAAAATTTAAAATTTAATTAATTTATAAAAATTTTTAATTTTATTTTAGAGTTGTTAAATTTTTGAAAATAAAAATTAAAAACTCAAAATTACGACTATTTTCAAAATGGAAATTGTCTCATGGAAAATAATGACTAAAATGTCATTTTCACTCTTTATTTATTATAATTTTGAAACATATATGTACCAAAATATCCATATAAAATTTTTAAGGGGGAGGTTCCTTGAGGAAGTAATCATATTAACACCCATAGAAGAAGGTAGGAATGAAATAACTTGCATTCTTATGTTTCTTAGAGAAAGAACCTTTAAAGCCACCTCTCAAATAGGAGGATAGAGACAAATTATTTTTTTAAATTATCGATTAAGACAAATCATTCATTATTTAACGTATAATGTCATTACTTGCCAAAAATCAGTTTACCATCTAAGTATTTTTTAATAAAAAGCTAATGTGTGATGATATTACATATTAAATAATTAGTGATTTATATTAATCAATAATTTTAAAAAATAATTTATCTCTATATTCTTTTAAAAGATAGATTTATCACTACCTTCCTATTTAAAAAGTGGATTTAGGAGTTTTGCTTTTATTAGATAAGTGTTCCAAAAACTCTCTCCTTCAATTAGTCCTGTATGAAGGGCAAAAAAAAAAAAAAAATCCTGTACGAAAAATATCCCCCATAATTTTACAGAAATCCGAGCTTCTATTTGCACTGTGTATTTACAACCAAGGTTTTTTGAATAGGCACCATATTTGCAACTAAGCATGCATGTCAGCATGTCAACAAGGGAAAAGCAACATTGAGGGCTCTATCTCTAATTTTCTACTTCTAAAACGCATTTTTTCTAACTTCTCATGACACCAGACTAAATGATCTGTGGTTAGCTTAGACATGTTCAGCACTCTTGAAACCAGTTTTAGTTCCACTTGGGCGATAAACACCGCATGATCCAATGCAGTCCTTTGTTGCTTCTGCAGCTTGTTCACTATGCAGTTTGTAATTCTCATTATCTCTTTAAGCCTCTTCTCCTTCTGAACACAAAAATTAGTAAAAAAACAAATGAGTATCACAAGGATTATATGTACCAACATCAACAAGTATATACTTGTCTGCAAAAAAACATACATTCTGAAGATGTCTCTGAACTTCCATCAAAAGCCCTAAGTCAAGAGGGTCTTGTGGAGCAACCTGTCTTTGCTGAGGACCCTTCAAGCTTAAACTGGTTTCATCTTTATCCGCACGAAGGAATTCCCAGAACACCTGCATCGATTCCTCTACTATTTCTGTCAACATTGCACTTGCATCTTCCTCCTCTACTCTTGTTCCATTGTTACCTTTTTTCGGGGAATCAATTGTCAGACAGAGTTCTAGCTTTGGCTAGACAACATGTTCCAATTCCATAATAAACATGAAATGAATGTTGTTAGTCCAATTTATTACCTTTAATCTTGGGAACCTGGAGAAATTTCGGAAGTAAGCATCGGCTCTTTACATAATTCTCAACCCTTGGCATTCCTTGAAACGGTTCATTCTCTAAAAATCTATGTACTAGCACTTGAAAGAATTGAAATTCCGCGGTGACATGAATAAACCGATGAATCCCTTGTGCATCATGCTGAAGCAACTCTTGTAGTTTACCATGTTGCCAACAGAGTATTTCCCAAGAAAGGCATGTCTGTCCAACATAAACTATTTCCAAGTCTCTATGCAAGTCTCTAATCAACTTCACAGTTCGGTCAGTCTCAGGCCTCTGTTGCTTGAATGGCCATATATTCTTGGTTAAGAGAGACGTAGGCATAGCAGAAGATTTTGCAATTATTCGAACTGGGTCATTCAGCTGAAGCAAACCTATAGGTGATCAGAGAACACATTAATACAATAATCAAGTGTCCAAGGCATATAAATATGGATCTTTGTCATAACAGAAAATCTTTTCCAGTCTGGACTGACTAAAATAACAACAAAGGCTCAAAGACTAGTGAATGCTGGAATGCACATGCGAATTCCAGCTGAATTGGGGTATCATGAATCTGATAAAAGAAAAAGAAACGGGACAGTTTTATCCCTACGCTGCAGGCGATTAAAAACTGATGGCATGGAGACCGACCAAAAAACAATTATTTTGTGCAAAGAAATCTCTTTTCGGGGTCAAAAGAGCTCCATCATGATCAAAAACAAGGATTCTACTTTCTATCCAAAGAAAGGGCCTACCAGACGACCTGGTTGACTAGGAATATTATACAAGTCCACACAACTTGAATAGTTCAACTTCAACATAAGCACTACTAATATTCATGCAGAAGGAAAAAATGAAAGTGTTACTAGACTAATCTGTGTTATTAATAAGAGTTTAGCCGAATTGACATCTATTATTACAAAACCTTATTCAGGTTAGGAATGCAAAGCTCTGAAATTGCTACGAAGCTAACAATTTAAAGTAAAAGAGAAAGGAGAAAAAAAAACTGGAAAAATTCCTTCAAAGCTAAAAAATTAGGATACTATTTGTTAGAAATATAGCAGAGGTTAATTTGGTTTCTTACCGATGGCATGTTTAGTTTGGGAATTTAGGATGTCCAGTTTTCGCATTCTGTCTGAGTAGCTCTTGTAGACCTTTTGAATGTCTGCAATGTGATCCAACTTGACATCAATCTTCAGTGGCTGAAGTTCTTCTATCATTTTCGAAAACTCGGAATCTTCTGAAATGGTGGGAAGTCCCCCTGTTCTAGCCAGTTTGAATTGCATTTTCAGCTGCTGAACTTCAGGACTATCATCTTCATCATCATCCGAACCTTCATTCGCAATACTTGAATTCTCAACTTGAGGATTGGATTCTACACATTCATCCATCTCAACATTTTCATTAGAATTCCCAGGACTGAAAGTTACCTGATCATCTGAATTTATAGAAGAAGTTAGAACTGAGGCCTCTGTTTTCACTTCAACAACGTCCCTCTTTTCTTCATTTTCCTCTTCATGTTTCTCCATACCCTGAACAGAATTCTCTGATCTCTGATCTTCTACAAGATCGTCTTCTCCTATTCTATGTTCTTTTTTCCTTGGTTTCTTTTCAATGACGAAACTTTCTAGAGAGTCCCCTGCTTCCTTTTCAACAGAGTCCCCTGCTTCTTCTTCAACAGAGTCCTCTGTTTTCCCTTCAAAAACAGTATTGGCCTCTATTTCTTGTTCCTCAGTAATTTTTCCAAAAACATGACTTTCGACAAGACTTCCTGTTTCCCCGTTGACCCTATTATCTCTTCCCAATTTATGTTCTGGACTATTAGTTTGAGCAGATTCCGCAATATCACCTGAACCCCTGTCGAACTCAAGCAGGGTAAAGCCCTCTGTTTTCGGTTCTTCGATGAATCCGCTGATATCTGCCCTACCAGAAAACTCATATTTACTACTTGCAGCCATCAGACCATTCTCTCTGTCTCTGTGTTCATTCTCAGTGCATTCGATACTCCGTTTTTCCTTAAACACATCAAACCCTGATTCGTTCGCACAATTTTCATTACCCTGCAATCTGCAGAAAGAAGAAAGGACGCACTAACCTTAAACAATCAGAAACTAGTCCAAGAAAGAAAACAAGATGATTAAATTCCCAAACCTGAAGATGAACTTGGAGACAAAAACCCAGAAAAACCCAAGAGCTCGAGACAAGTTTATGAAAAAGAACTCGTTCATGGATGCAAGAAGGAAAACAAAGTAGGAATTCTTGAAGAGGAGAAATTTCTTGGTATCCATCAGGTCAATCAACCTCTCCGTGTGTTTTCTTCTATTTCTCAATTGAAAACAAAACTAAAGAGTGCTCAAATTCTCTGAAGTCAATGATATTCATTAGGAAAGTGGAGTAACCACTTGGAGAAAGTAAAATCTATGGGAGTCAAATTATTTCCTAGTGATTGTGAGATTTAAACATGGAATTTGATGGGGGCGCCTTAATTTCGCAGATGACTTTTTTTTTCGTATATTCATTTCGCAAATGACTTTTCCTCTTAGATGAGTATCTTTCAATATTCAGTAACGCTTTGAGAACTCGAGTAAACTTCCCCTATTATTTTTTTCCCTGTTTGAATTGCCACCTCTCTCCTTAGGCAATTAGCGGATTATAAAGGTGTACTCTTGCATTCACTTGTATATTTAAAAAAATATTCATTTTTTTAACACTAATCAAAACTTAATATTGTACCCAGCTTATGAGACGATGTTTGTTTATTGACAAATTCAACTGCAGTTGTATATCTTGTTGTATGGTCTATTATGAGATTTATTGAAAAAGTAACATGTGTATCAGTCTTTGGAATATTCCGGAGGTCAACAGTCAACACGCTGTGAGTAAGGACTTAGAAATTTAGAATTGTCACGGCTTTGTTTTGATTGCGACTCGAGTTAACGACTGGCGTGTCAAATTCCGGTTTGTGTTAATTTTGGAACTAAACTTTATTTTGGGTACCCAACTTCTGTGTGCCTTGCAAATGAGGAATCCAACTTCAAAATTCACCATCTCAGCTACACAACCATGCAATTTTTTTTTATAGTAACATAGGTTAAAAAAAATTTTCTCTGAATAAATTTTCAATTTGTGGAAATTTTTTTTAAAAATAACCGTATTTTGGGAGAGGGAAGTAATATTTTTATTGGGCAACTAAAAGGTGAAGTGAAAAGCTTGTGTGCCTAATTCGCAAAACCCTGAAGTTGGGAGATTCGTAGTGCAATTTATTTCAGAATTGTTCGGAGAATATCTGGTTACAAAAGAAGAATATCTCTCTTTTATTTCCCTTTTTTTAATTAAAATAATTTAATTTCTTAAGTTTTATTTAGTATAGTTGTAGTTTTTTATTTTTAGTTTTAATTTTTAAAATTCAAATAATTAAAATTAATAATTAAAATTACCAATTTATTAGGTAAAAAATTTTAAAACAAATATAAAAAAATTCTAAACTTAGTTATTTTATAAAAGTACTTAATTTAATTGTAGAATTTCTAAATTTTCAGAAACCAAAACTAAAATTTCAAAATTAGAATTATACTAAACAAAGCTTTAGCATTCATTTGAAAAAATTCCTCCTTGTTCATAAATTTATAGATTCAAATGATAGCTTATTAAATAATAATTCTTTTATGATTATTAATTAAGTTGTATAATAAAAAATAATTCTTTCCTATAATGAATCTATCTTACCCACTTGTCATCCAAGTAGAGTGTTATTAGGTCAATTGCTTAAAAGAAATTAAGGTTGTGGGTTTGGCTCATGTAAATGATAGATTTTTTAAAAAAAATTCATGTAATATACTTAAGTGTTTGAATATGTTTTGTATATGGTTATATATGGTGTTCTTTTTCTGTATTGTGCTTCATATAAAACAAAAAAATAATAATAATAAGACTTGATAATTTCATCAAATTGATGTGGAGATGCATTTTTAAAATTGACCAAAGAAAAATTATTCTACAAAAACTTATCAAAGAATACTTTAATTGTCTTAAAAAAATGAAAAAAAAAAAAAAAAAACTGCTAATGGACAAGAGGGATGTTTTGATTGTTGGAATTTTCTCACATTTAAGCCTTCGTTTAACATGATTTTAGTTTTAAATTTTGAACTTTTGTATATTTAGTTACTATTAATATATTTAAAAATAAAAATTTATTAAAAAATTTAATTTTATTAAATTTAATTTAAATATAATATTAATTACTAAATATATAAAAAATAAAAATAAAAAACTCAAAATTAAAATTATAGTAAATGGATCCTAAATAATCAATAATTACTAATTTCCTATCTCTTGACCTTTATATTTGTTTTCTCCTTGACTTCGGTTTTTTTGTCCCATCTTTACGCACATGGTCGACGCTGTCGTAGCGGACGGTCATTAGGAACCCCATTTTTCCTTGTTTTATTCAATTAGATTTTTTTTGGTAACGGTGGCTTAATCACACCCAGACAACGTATACCGCAATGAGAAAGCAACTGCGCTCTCAGGTTAACAACAGGTCACCATTTTTTTGATTTTGATTTTTCTTTCCTCATGGTTGGCTTGTTCTGTCTCTGCGGGCCGGAGGGAGTCACTAATACGTAAGAATATTATTCAATTAAAAAAAAAAAAAAGAGGTGGAGTTTGTATTATTTTAAATTACATAATTTTAATTATTAGATATTAAAAAAAATTTATTTAATAACTTATATTTTATAATTTAATATAATTTCAACGATAAAAGATAAAGTTTTTTAAAATTATATTTCTTTTACTTATACAACTTTATTTTTGGTACAACTTATCAACCTTTTTACTTCATTTTATGCCTTTGTAACTTGTTCTTAAGTTAAGTACTTAAGATTATTGCCACTTCGAAAGGTGTATTAGGCAAAGAAGTCAATCCCGTATTATACCGGTCGTACCAATTTTGATATTTGACCGAAACGGTACAATATTAAATTTTATTTCGGTTAAAATCCGATCATTTCGGTCAAAATTCGATGTATCGGCCGAAATTTTGTGTGCCCCGGCCGGTACACTTCATGCCCCCCAAAAAAAAAAAAAAAA